GGTTTAGAATGTGTATGACAATTTAAATACTAAGGTTCCAATGCTATAGTGTAGAAATTTGGCATGTATATTGTTTGTAGGTGTTTGCTGTAGAAGCTTTCTACGTAATAAGCCCGGCTGTGGAGCCCAAAGAGAAGTTTCTATGATGTACGGGATTTTAATGTGTGCTATATTAGGTATGCAATTTTCCCGATATGTATCTTTACATAATCATACAATATGGCGTATGGGTTTCTTGTCTGGGGGTATATACGTTCGTTGTGTTCTACACTGTGCGTTGCTTTCGGTGTAGACTCGTAGTTACCGCCGTAGTAACTTTAAATTTGACATTCTCTTATTGAGTTTTGTGGGAAAAAAAAGGAAAATTGGTTTAAACGTAGGCAGATGCGGACAAACAGAACTTACTGTCTGAAGGCGATGCTTTTCCTTCTTCCAAGTCTATTCTCTTTTTAAATGTTCTTTCTACATTTACAATCCGATTTCTTAATTTCGTTTATATTCCTTCGTTTTCATTTATTTCTGTGATTAATTTCATGCCTCTCTTTCTCAAAGATACTTTTTTTATTTTACGTTTTTTTCTTCATCTTTTTGATATTTTCTCTTTATCTCTTCCACATTTTTGTTCATATTACATGCGTGTATGAGTCGTATGAAAGCGGAGTGATTGCAGTGATAGCCCTTCCTTGTACTGTACTTCGGACACGTAATTTTGGAAGGCTCGAAACATCGCCTTGAAGAGTCGCTTCTACGTCAGATGACTATGGGGATGGATACGAGGACACATACTGATTATCCGTAGTGTAAATTAGGAGCTAATACTTTTTTCACAAAATGGATGAGTCTTGTGGGAAATTTTACTCCCTCATAACATCCCCAATACGCCCACGACCGCCACGTCTGTCCAGAACTGAATTAGGTACGACCCACTGCTGTACCCAGTGGTTTAACCGAAAATTTTCTGTGTTTAGACAGCTTAGGATCGTGTTTATTCTGACTGTGGAGCGTTGTTCTGGCTATGTGCAACATCATTCACTCTCCTTTCTTCGTATTCTTTATTGAACACTACGTGTTTCTGCCTAACTGGCCATCTTCAGGTGTACAAATTCGTATAGATAGGTACACCTGAAGATGGCCAGTTAGGCCAACATTTGTAGTGTCCAATAAAAGGATATGAAGAATGAATAGTGAAAGACGTTGAACATAGACGGCACAAATGCTCAAAAGTCAGATCTGTACAGTGCAACATGACGCTGAAATATAACATTATAATGTTTATTATTGTTTCTTATAATATTCTTCGATTAAATCAATCCTATCCATTATGCTTCTCACAATCTGAACTGGTTGATTCTTTGAAGCTGATTTAATATTATAATACGTTAAATTCATATCTCAGTTAAGTGATCGTACAAACAAACGAACTAAGTGATTTCTAAAGACCTCCTGTACACATATTTTATGTAGCTATTATTGACATCTTGTGGAACACTGCGAAATTAAGAGTACTATACTAAGTATATGTTGCTATCTCGTCACCCAAATGAAGGGCAAAATCAGGACATAAAGATAGGTAAAAGATGTATTAAAATGTGGCACAGTTAAGATATTTGGGAACAACTATAACAAATTGAGACCTGATTGAGGAATTCAGGTAATGCTTGATGTCATTCAGTCCAGAACCTTTTGTCATCTCATCTGTCCTCTCAAAACTTAAAAATTAGAATATACAAAACTTTTCCTGTGGTTCTGTATTGGTGTGAAACTTCGTATCTGACATTAAGAGAGGAACACAAACTGAGTGTGTTTGAGAACAGGGGGTTGAGGAGAATATTTAGACCAAAGAGAGATGAAGGGACAGGAGGTTGGAGAAAACTGCATAATGAGTATCATCATAACTTGTACGCTTCTCCAAGTATAATTAGAATGATCAAGTCAAGGAGGATGAAATCAGCAGGGCATGTAGCATGAATGGGGGAAAAGAGGAAGGCATATAGGATACCGGTAGGAAAGTCAGAAGGAAAGAGACCACTAGGAAGACCAAGACATAGGTGGGTGAACAATATTAAAATGGATCTTAGAGAGATAGGATTGAAACTTGCGGACTGGATCACTTTGGCTCAAGATAGGGACTAGTGGAAGGATCTTGTGAAGGCGGTGATGAACCTTGCAGTTCTATAAAATTTTGTGAAGTTCTTGGTAGCTGCACACTTGACAGCTTCTCAAGAAGGGCTCTCAGCTCCATGACTGAGTGAGTACCGCAGCAGTAATATCTGCAACTACACTCTAGCAACACTGTTTCTCTGCTGAAACTAANGAAGTTCTTGGTAGCTGCACACTTGACAGCTTCTCAAGAAGGGCTCAGCTCCATGACTGAGTGAGTACCGCAGCAGTAATATCTACAACTACATTCTAGCAACACTGTTTCTCTGCTGAAACTAGATGGTAACTAGTCACACTGGAAACGGCATTAAGAACGTGTTTGAAGATCAAACGTGGGCCTACAGGAGGCTGTTGCTACCACAGAAGAAAGATAATATCCACAAACCTAAGAATATCAGTTGAAATGGCCACTAAATTTGACAAGTTTGGAAAGAACATGTTTATATGAATGACGTTGCATCTTTTGGTGCATGGCATTCATCCACAAATTTTATAATTATCCTGTATGTGTACATGTGTATAAATAAATAAACATACATATATGTATGTGAGTATATGTCTTACTGGCAGGGTTACATAGTCACATGTACACATCTGTAGCCAAGAGGTACTTGGTTTGAAATTTGGTTGTCCTATCAACTGTTTTGATCGAGATATTCTGTTGTCTTAACAGTATATCCAGAGAAGTGCTAGGATACAAGCAATTGTAGGCTGTGACTCCCTAATTCGAAATTCTTAAATGTTGATAATTTATGGTCATATAGTATTCCCATCTCATTCAACACTGTAACTTGGTGCATTCAAACTATGTAATTGGATAACCTAATGATCAATTAACAAATCAGAGGGTCACAATAATAAAAATGTGAATGAATAAATAAAGTGTCTATCCGGCCAAGAGAACAAATGATGCTGAAGATGGGATAGCAGTTAAATTTCTCACTGCAAAACTGAGGAATCTGATTTTGATTCTGAGTTTGGGAATTTTCTTCTTCACACAGTTTACAGATCAGCTCAGAATTCCAGAAAATCACCAATTCAATTGGTTTTAGAGGATAAAACAGCCGAGGTGTGAAGCTGACCACTAACCTCCATGCAGTGCAAAGGTTAAGAATACATGTACATTTTCATAGCATGGTGATTGAATTATGTACAGGGGACAACTTCGCTATTTACTTCATTACAGTTTCAAAACTCACTTCCCTAAGTGTTAATTGCTTTATTTTCTTCCATGCATGTCTTCTAAGTGATATTACACCTTGACGTTTTCCATCCTGAGTGTAGTATCCATGTTTCAGTCACGATAAATGCTACATGTCACACCCATCTAATCCTTGTTGATTTTATATCCCTAACATTACAGAATGGTGGATACATATCAGAAAGCTCTTCCTTTGTTATTATATCCAGTCATTCTTTATTTAAACTCTCTGAGATGAAAGTATCTTTATATTTCTTCTCTCGACCACTTTTCATCTACAGAATGAGACCACTAATTGATATTTACTTTACAGCTGTATTTATCATGACAGTTTTGCAGTCACACAAAGGACTGTATTTTAATAGACAAAAGAAAAGTATAATTATTGTGTCGCCTAAGTGAATAATAAATTCAGGATTTCTCTGAGATTTGATAATACTGAAGTTATCTAGTATAGTGGATGCGCTCCATTCTTGGTCATTGTTTTCTTGGGGGTATTCTTTGATCCAGAAAACAGAAACATCTTCTGAAATATCAGTAAACTTATTTTACACTGCATATATTGCTTCTCACAAGATAACACTCTTAAAAATTTTTTTTGTTGAGTTGGTACTAACTGACTACTCACGATGTCTGAATATGGTAGGCTATTCTGTTTATTGCTTGCTTAGATCATTTTTGATCCAGAAAACAGAGAGACTTTGATCCTCTTATATATCAGCAACAACTGCTGGACTGTACATAAATAATTTTTTGTTTGAAATAATATTAACTCACTATTCATAGAGTCACATATGATAGGATTATAGTTCTCAAATTTGTCTTACCATTGCTAGGCTGTGGTATGATGTCGGGATTCTTCTCATCACTGTCGCCACTCTCCGTGCCTCCAGGGTCAAGTTTATTGATGGGGCTGTTACCTCCCTTCTCACCTCCTGAGCCTCCACCTCCAGAACTGGAACCTCGATTTCTTTGCTCGTGGGCTGCTGCTTTATGTTGCTTTCGGCGATCTTCATTATGTGAACACTGGAGGCGAAGCACTATACCCACCACCACGGCCACTATCAGCAGTGCTGACACCACCCCGATCAGTACACTCATCATTGGGGTGAAGCGGAACCCAGGACGTGGTCGCTCTGAAACATCACAGCTGTGATTGATTACTAACCACATAGTATAGAGCCTTCCTTGTAATGAGTGGTAAGTATTCAATCAGACAAGAAATTCCTTATTTTATAAAAAAAAAAAAGGTAAAGGTTTATTTCATGTTAATAAAAGTTTGCTTTTGGAATCGGTCCTGACTATATGCAATCCAGCCCACAATGTTGTGTTGTATCCTTAAAATTCTGCTATCTATAATTAGGTCTTCAAAGAGGACTCTTACTTCAAAATTCTGTGTGATCAAAATTTACATATACTTTATTTTCTGTATGAAACATATTATTGGAGCTCAGATAATTCGGTCGGTATAGTGATGGGATACAGGCTGGATGACCTGGGTTTGATTCCTAGTAGAAGTAAGAGACTTTTCTCCACTTCACAAAGTAAAGAGTGGCACTGCCTGCCCCCTGACAGATACGAACTGTTATATCCTGCTCTTGGTCTGAATAGGGAACAATTGTTGAAGAGTTTATTTTGCCCACTGCTATGCAATGAATCTCTTGTTGGCGCCGGAATACATTATGTTTCAAATATCAGTGGAAACCCTACTGTTACACTTTCATTTCCGGATTTCCTAGGCATTGTTGCTTAGGAATTGCTAGCCGTTGACTAGTGATGGACGTCTTATAGTCCGGCTTTCAGGCTGCACCTCACAATATTATATGAACTAGGATAGACTGATATTATTGTTTGGCAGACTAAGGCTTAATGTAGGGTGAAGTGACTGAATATGATTAACTGAATATAAGAGGTTGTTACACATGTCATGAGCATTATGGGGTGATGTTTGAGGCAGGAAGACTCTGACTATGTTATATCACTGATGTTCTGATTATCATGTGAAACTGTGGGTCAATTGTGCATCCCAAAGGAAATCTATACATGCTGAGAAGCTTTTAATGATTGTAGCCACACAGAACCACTGAAAACGACCTATTAAAATCAAAGACTTAAATGTGGGAACCTGGAATGTGCTGTCACTATATTAGAAGTGGAGTATTTAGGAATTTAGTGAAAGCAACTCAGGAATATGGCATTAATCTGTTAGCTGTACAAGAAGTTAGATGGCTAGGGAAGACCATATCTTACCAGAACCCATGACATTGTCACTTCACATGACATGATAATTCTGAAAAAAATATTGATCTTTGACTGTCACATTTTCAAACAGAGACATGTGCTTCCATCAACTTCCTCTTCAACATTTGAGATAAGACATTAGTTAAGGTGCTACTGAATTTAGCTAGATTGAGGTGTACTTTTATTTGAGGATAAAAGTTTTGATTCAGGAACTAGCTCCAAACATTCAACCACAGTTAATATGAGAGGATTTCGAGTTTGATATGAATGAAATCAAATAAAGAGGATACATGGAAAGGAAACAATAGGAAAGAAGACTGAAACAACTGAAGGGTTAAGTAAAGAAATTAATGTAGATACAGAATTGAAAGAAGTAAAGGTAAAGGAATGAGGAGTGAGAAAGGAAACATGAATGAACGAACAGAGAAAGTAAGAAATCTAGGAATAAAAATATGGAGAATAGAAAATAAACACAAAAGCAAAAACTGATAGAGAGAATGAAGTCTGGCAGGTTACCCACCTTTCTCTGATGTGAGCTGCTTCTCTGGCAATCTTAGTGTGGAGGCCTGTATGACAACAGGTTCACTTCGGCCCTTGTGGTTGAAAGAGTACACACAGGCCTGATAGTGTGATCCGGCTTCAAGTCCCGTTACGCTGAATCTAGGAACTGTTGAGGAGACATTGTAATGTAGGACTTGGCTCTGAGACTCCCTTACTTCCATAAGGAATAACTGTTCCATTCCTCCATTGAAGCCCGGTGAACAGTGCACTGAAAATGATGTCATGGACGTGTTGGAAACTGTACAGTTGTATACTTGATCTGGCCGACCTGCAAAGAGATGAATATTTGACCGATGACTGACACTAGCTCCATGGTGCATTCTCTTCCTAAGGAGCTAGTAACCTATCAGCTGTTTAAGAATATAGGATGTGTTCTTATAACAACCGAGGTCCAACACAAGATCCCATGAACTAACCCTGTTATAGTCCTGTTGAATTCATTCCACTCCTTAGCACTATATTTCCCTAAGTGAATATACACCAAAGTTGCACAAAGCTGGAAGAAAATGGAAGGAAAAGTCAGAAGGTATTCTGCTGGTTTCATGACCAAGAAGGTAATGATGGAAAAGTAAGGAGTGCTTTATTGCCTTCTTGCATGAACGCAGGTTTCATGAGTATTTTGTCCATTTCAATTATGGAAATTGAAATAATAAAGAGAAACATGACATTAAGAACCAGAAATAAAGATGACTAAAGAAAAGGCTAAATAAATAATGCAGAAGAGAAACACAAAAAGCAAAAGTGGAAAGGAATGAAATAAAAGAGAGAGAGGGACAGAAAGGAACAAGAATGAAGGCAAAAAAATAAAATAATAAGAAGAAAAAGAGCTAGTTAATTCTACAGCAAGGTATTAATTTTCTTTAACTGAACACCTTTAAGCCTTATGTCAGGCTGCTCTGTGCTATAGGAATGTTGTACATGCTGCTTAGCCATTATGGCAAACCTATTAATTTATACATGTGATACAATCTGCAATTTTCAATTAAGGTTTAACAGTATTTTCACACATCACTGCAAGCATTTTGCAGCTTATAAGCAGAAATCTTTCTTGTTAATTTACTAGAGGTACAGCTTGGAAAATCCACCACTAGTAAAAATAAGAAAATTCTCTGCTTTCATTGCTTGCTCTTTGACCCTAAGGATGTAGCAAGTATATCCTCCCTAAATGTTGGTACATTTGTACTAGACTACATGGCATCACATTCCAGAAGATAGTACCGATTGTAGTCACTACTGTGAAAACCTTAAATTCAAACTTAGTGTTAATTATGGCAGTTCTTCTCTACTACTGATTGAATAATAACAACAACAACAGTAATAATAATAATAATACATAATGGCAATAATAATGACAATTAAGAGAGTGGTGTGAGTATTTCTACTAATGCTATTACTACTATTTGTATGCTGTTACTATTACTACTTCTACCACCAGTACTACAAATACTATTACTGCTACCACAAATAAAAATAATGGTACCTGCTGCGATAATGTGAAAGACACAAGGCACTCGCTGGTTGCCAATGCGGTTGGAGGCCCAACATAGGAGTGTGCCATAGTCCAGTTCAGTCATAGGGGTGTAGGAGACAACACTAGAGGTGCCAGACCTAGCAATGTGAGCTGAAGCCACATCCAGACTCTCTGCAGAATTGTTAAATGTCCATCGGAACTGAACGTCGGGAGGATTGGCCTCTACCTGGCAAGAGATATTTGCCTTCTCCTGCTTTGCAACACCGTGCACACGTGTCTGGTTTGCCTTGCATGTTGGAGCATCTACATACAACACAGTCAACATCAAAAATATAAATTTGTATTTCTGAAAACCAATATGCTGGAAAGAATTTGCCACAGAAAAAAATGGCGAACCAAGTCCAAAAAAGTTGAGATCAACATATTTAGTAAATCGTAAACAATAGATTTTTCCTACATTCATATATTCTAATATAGTAAACCGTTGCTATTCCGGTTACAGTTAATCTGGAGGTCACATGATCTGGATCAAAATAAGAAAAATGAAAAAAAAAATATTGTTAAGAGTTGAGTATGTACTTTAAAAACATATGGCATTTACGAAAGTAGATGAGTTATCTGTCTGTTCAGAAAAAATCTTGACAGTTTCTTCAGACCTTAATTATTACGTTCAAAGATAAGTACAACTTCTGAGTCTTCTATAGAGGAATAAATGCCCTGACTTTTATAGTATTTAAATAGAGGCTCCCGTGATATTTTTATTTCTTTTATCAGCACTACTTATATCATTATATTTTTCATTCATCTGTGTTCTAAGTCTTTTTAGGGCAATCATCTGCTTCATTAATCCGGATAAACTCTTCCTCCCCAAACACTCCGGATTAGTGAGGGTTGACTCTACCTTATAAATAGTCAGAATATGTTTAAGACAAAAATTATAAGAGGACAAAAGTAATATTCCACACCATTCATGGGTGAGAACCGCATAGTAATGCCAGAAAATAGTGGAACACATTTTACTGACGACAAAAAAGAAAATTTGTGCATTTTTACACCTGACAATAGGTTTCTCACTCACTATCTTCTGTTTCCTTTTTACGTGTTTTGCTCATTCTGTCCTTCATTGTATATTTTTCTTCTGTATCCTTTCTATTACAGAAAAGAAGTCGGACAGGAGATGCTGTAAAATATAATGGAGTTCCTAGGCATAATATATTAAACACTGACTCAGGAATGTGCATTTCTCTGTCTTCCTGGAGCCCAAGATTTTTTCTTATAGGCTTTAAAGTGTGATCTACCTGCATACCCACATACCCACCCACCCACTTACCTACCTACCACCCACAACCTACTTACCTACCTACCCACCCACCTACCTACCTACAGATCTACAGTCCTTTCGTTGGACTTTGGCCGATTGGACAGGGGATCAGCCTGTCAGAAGGAAGCTACAGAACAACATAAACACAAAAAAAAATGTACACACAGACACTCATGACTCGAGTGGGATTCAAACCCACGATTCCAGCTTTCGAACAGGCGAAGACAGTTCATGCCTCTGACCGCGCAGCCTCTGTGATTGGCCACTCCTCTCTCCCTCTCCCAGAATAAATCGCACGCACGCACACGCACGCACGCACACACACAATCCCTCCGTGGAACACATACAACCTATCGGAAAGTAACGCGTGTTTTCAGTGGAAACAGACTTTACTATTCCCTGCAGTATTCAGCTTACCTGCAGAATTCGAAATTTAATCAAAATAACTGATAATTAGATTGGCAGTGAGCAAACAAACAACACGCAGAGTTCATATGGAGAGGTCCAATCATAAGAAATTAAATGAGGTAGAGGGTAAAGAGCAGTATTGTGTTGATATCTCAAATAGGTTCGCGGCTTTTGAAAACTTGGAAACTGAGGTGGATGTTAATAAAGCTTGGGAAACTATTAGAGAGAATATAAAAATGTCTGCCAAAGAGAGTCTAGGTTATTATGAACCAAAGAAGCATAAGCCATGGTTCGATGAAGGATGCTCAAAATTATTAGATCAAAGAAAGCAGACCAAATTGCAATGGTTACAGGATCAAATTGAGTTAAATGGGGATAATTTGAACAATATAAGATGTGAAACCAGAAGGCATTTCAAGAACAAAAAGAGGGAATATCTGAAAGACAAAACTGATGAGCTTGCAATGAACAGTAAGAACAAGAACATTAGAGACCTGTATTGAGGAATAAATGACTTTAAGAGGGGTTACCAGCTAGCAGTAACTTATTGAAGGATGAAAATGGTGATTCCCACATTTTGAATAGGTGGAGGAACTACTTCTCTCAGTTATTCAATGTACACAGGGCCAATGATGTTAGGCAGACAGCAATCCATACAGCTGAGCCATTAGTACGTGATCCTAGCCCTTTTGAGGTGGAAAGTTCTATTGCAAAATTGAAACGGTATAAATCGCCAGGTAGTCATAAAATTCCGGCAGAACTTATTCAAGCAGGAGGTGAAGTATTACATTCTAAGATCCACAATCTAAACATATAAACATGGGCATAAAACTATACAATAATCTTCCTATGGAGTTAAAGAATGTATCTGATTTTAAAGTGTTTAGGAGGAAATTGAAGTGTTATTTGTTGCATAATGCCTTCTACTCTCTTCAGGAGTTTTTTTATATGTAAGATGTTGAATTAAATGACTGTAATTGTCTGTTAATGCATGTGCTGGTGGTTTTTTTATATAATTTATTTAAGTATTTATGTATTCTTTGATTATGTTAGGTGTGATTGTTATTAAATCTATATATTCTCTTTGACTTTATCCGATTGTATATTTTACAGTTATGGATGTAAATAAAATTATGAATTATGAATTATGAATTATTGTACCAGTTAACAAGAAGGGTGATAAAACTGACTGTAGTAATTATCGAGGGCCATCACTGCTATCAATTTCATACAAAATTTTATCCAATATTTTTCTCTCAAGGTTAAGTCCATATATAGATGAAATTATTGGGGATCATCCGTGTGGGTTTCGACGTAACAGATCAACTACAGATCAGATCTTTAGCGTTCGTCAGATATTGGAGAAAAAATGGGAGTATGATGAGACAGTACATCAGCTCTTCATAGACTTCAAGAAAGCCAAGAAAGAAAGAAAGAGTTTGGGATACCCATGAAACTAGTTAGGTTGATCAAAACGACTTTAAACGAAACGTATAGTAAAGTCCGTGTAGGTAAATATTTGTCTGATAAATTTCCTACCCAGAAAGGTCTAAAACAAGGAGATGCTTTATCGCCACTCCTTTTCAACTTTGCTTTAGAATATGCCATTAGGAAGGTCTAGGGAAACCAAGTGGGACTGAAACTAAACGAGACACATCAGCTGTTGGCCTATGCCGA